TATAACTGAACGATTGGAAATGCAATAACTTTGGTGTTTGTTAAGTTAGGAAGTTGGGATTTTCTATGGGTTTTATTTTTGGCCAATCAATCCGATCTACCAAACTTCATAAGGATCGGCCGACTATATCCTATAGCTGCCATATAACTGAACGATTGGAAATGCCATAACTTTGGTGTTTTTAAAGTTAGGAAGTTGGGATTTTTTATGAGTATTAAGAATGCATCATATGAATAATTTTGGAGAATATAATTTACAGAATTTAATTTGCAGAATACAAGGGTATATCAACTTCGGCTCCGCCCGAAGCTAGCTTTCCTTTCTTGTTATACCCTTGCAGAGGGTATTATAATTTTGGTCAAAAGTGTGCAACGCAGTGAAGGAGACATCTCCGACCCTATAAAGTATATATATTCTTGATCAGGATCACCTCCTGAGTTAATATAGCCATGTCCGTCTGTCCGTCTGTCTGTCCGTCTGTCCGTCTGTCCGTCTGTCTGTTTCTACGCAAACTAGTCTCTCAGTTTTAAAGCTATCGAATTGAAACTTTGCACACACCCTTCTTTCTTTTGCATTCAGTATATAAGTCGGAGCGGCCGAGATCGGCCGACTATATCCTATAGCTGCCATATAACTGATTGATCGGAAATGCCATAACTTTGCTGTTTGTAAAGTTAGGAAGTTGGGATTTTCTATGCGTGTTATATTTGGCCAATCAATCCGACCTACCAAATTTCATAAGGATCGGCCGACTATATCCTATAGCTGCCATATAACTGATTGATCGGAAATGCCATAACTTTGGTGTTTGTAAAGTTAGGAAGCTGGGATTTTCTATGGGTTTTATATTTGGTTAATCAATCCGACCTACCAAATTTCATAAGGATCGGCCGACTATATCCTATAGCTGCCATTTAACTGAACGATTGGAAATACCATAACTTTGGTGTTTGTAAAGCTAGGAAGCTGGGATTTTCTATGGGTTTTATATTTGGTTAATCAATCCGACCTACCAAATTTCATAAGGATCGGCCGAATATATCCTATAGCTGCCATTTAACTGAACGATTGGAAATGCCATAACTTTGGTGTTTTTAAAGTTAGGAAGTTGGGATTTTTTATGAGTATTAAGAATGCATCATATGAATAATTTTGGAGAATATAATGAACATAATATTCTGCAAGGGTATATCAACTTCGGCTCCGCCCGAAGTTAGCTTTCCTTTCTTGTTTTTTTTTAATATCGATTTAAATCGATATAAACATAAAATTGATCAAGACTACTATACTTTTTTAATATGGTCACACTGTTTCGGTACGAATTGTGTGAATTCCCGGAATTAATAAGCTTTTTGGGAAAAATTGTGGAATTTTTATTGCTTGGACTGCAAAATCGGCTGGTGAATAAAATAGGTGTATGAAGGAAAGCATTTACCTGTAGTTTATAATTACAATTACTTGGATGCAGAAGGTAAGTTATTAGGAAAATAAGCCTAAATGGTGACTTAACAACCATAAAAATTTTATTAGATGGGCCGTGGGCGTCACAGCAGTGCGGAGGAGAGAAGGCCCATTCGACGGCGACAACCGGAAAAAAAGGTGACACTCGGGGAGCACCTAGAAAAACCTCATCTAAGACCGACGATCGCATGGTTATGTTGATTAAAAGCGACCCGTTCAAGTCTTCCAGGACGATTGCCAATGAAATTGGGAATATTGTGTCATCACGGACCATTCGGCGACGATTGGCAATAGAAAACCTACCAGGTAGGATTGCTCGCAGGGTTCCTTTGCTTCGATCGGCAAATTTACAGATGAGGAAGAAATTCGCATTAGATCGTACATAGATCCTGGTGCGGACCGGAGGGTGAGAAAAAGTGGCGTAATATCCTCTGGAGTGACGAAACCAAAATAAATTTATTTGGAAATGATGCCAAAAGGACTGTTCGTCGTCCGAAAGTCAAAGAATTTGATCCCAAGCACACATATTAAACTGTGAAACATGGAGGTGGTAGCCTCATGGTATGGGGCTGCTTTTCATGGCATGGTGTTGGTCCGATGGACAGATTAGTATACAAAGATCTATTGGAGACGGTAATGCTACCATATGCTCAGGATAATATGCCACTTTTATGGAAGTTTCAGCAGCATAATGACCCAAAGCTCGCCTCTCGAGTAGCAAAGGATTGGTTCCGAGAGCCAAATTTGGATGTTCTTGAGTGGCTAAGTCAATCCCCGGACCTCAATCCCATCGAGAATCTTTGGGGTGAACTCGAAAGAGGCGTCGGAAAGACTTTTTGTCAAAATAAAAATCAACTTTGGGATATTGTCCAAAGGGCATGGTACAACATTCCAATTGGAACTTGTCGTACGTTAATATCCTCTATGGCAAGACGAATGGAAAAAGTGTTGCAAAATAATGGCGGATATACCGGTTATTAGCTGCCAAATACTTAGTTTAATAAAAAAAACAAGAGAGAACGCTATAGTCGAGTGCCTCGACTATTAGATACCCGTTACTCAGCTAAACAACTTAATGTAAATATGCCTTCTTGTATGTTTTTTTTTTTTTTAACATAATGTGAATTATAGTGACCACAGGAAAAAAGGACAAAAAATTCAAATTATCAATTTGAATTCGGCGATCTCTTAGTGCTGGCAGCTTTACAGCACGAGCATCAGCACCAGCGCTGCTTTAGCGCAGGCAGCTTTTGCCCTGCACCAGCAGCTGTGTTTATGTTTATGTTTTTGAGTGCAATAAATTGACTAGAAATATTAAACATACATACTTATATTGGCTAAACACATACATTCTTAAATAGTATTATGTATATTAAAGTCTAAATGGTTGCACAACACGAGTAACGGTTATAGCGAATAGCTTTCTTTGAAAGGAGTTATCTTTGCCGGGCAATTGCAACTGTGTACAATGTAAATACATACATATGTAAATGCTTATAGACATACACACATACGCCATTGTTTGACTCAGACCTCCAATTTGGCTTACTAGATTTGATTGACAAATGAAAACCATCGCAATTTCCTTTAATAGAAATCCTTATCGAGAATTAACGTTGACTCTGTTGAGCACCTTGGCCAGCTGTTCCAAAATCATCCGTTAGATGGCGCCATGAAAGGCGGAAATGTAGGCGCTAGCCAGGCTTAAGCGTTTAATGGGTTTTTGGGCGTTAGAGTGGGCGTGGCAAACTTTTATTAGGCCAATCGATATTTATTGACGAAACAAATACATATCAATTAAAATTTTCATAATATCATCAAAACTGTGGCCACAGCTTGTGGCTTGTGGGCGTCAGAGGGGGCGTGGCACCATTTTGAAACAAACTTGCGCTGCGTAGGAATCCTAAAACCTACATGCAAAATGCCAATCTTCTAGCTTTTATAGTTTCCGAGATCTCAGCGTTCATACGGACAGACAGACAGACGGACAGACGGACATGGCTAGATCGACTCGACTAGTGATCCTGAACAAGAATATAAATACTTTATAGGGTCGAAAACGCTTGCTTCTACCTGTTACATACTTTTGCACGAATACAATATACCCTTTTACTCTACGAGTAACGGGTATAACAACGAAGTTATACTTTTTTGAATTATTTTTTCCGATTGTTCCTATGGGAGCTATATCATATAGTCGCCCGATCCGGCTCGTTCCGACTTATGTATATGCTACCTGCAATAGAAAGACAACTTTTGGGAAAGTTTCAAGCAGATAGCTTTAAAACTGAGGGACTAGTTTGTGTAGAAACGGACGGAAGGACAGACGGACATGGCTAGATCGACTCTCCTGGTGATGCTGATCAAGAATATATATACTTTATAGGGTCGGAAATGTCTTCTTCACTGCGTTGCAAACTTTTGACTGAAATTATAATACCCTCTGCCAGGGTATAAAAAAGAGGATGTCTAAACATTTTGAGAAGGGCTCAATTTGAATAAAACAGCGATTATTAAAGATAAATAAGCAAGGCAGTCACCGATAGTCAAAACTGAATTGTACTATTGCTACATCAGCACCGTTGAATTGTTGAATTTAGCACTAGCAGTTAAAATTTATATTTTTTTTGATTATAGTGATAATTAGAACTAGCAATTGAAACCCTTTGTAGGCATCTCGTGAGCGTTGGTATTAATTTTGAATTGCCGCTAATTGTAGCACCCTCTGTTAAGCCTAGTATCCAGATCGACAAACGATTACGCTAGCGTAAAAACTTTAATCTTTCCAGTGTAACCAAAATTTTGAGAGTTCATCAGATTTAAGCGTGCTACGGTCGTACTGTCAATCAGCTGGGTTTGTTGACAAGCAGTTAAAATTCAAATATCGTATTTGCGGGAAAGAGCCTTTAAAAGATATTATCAAATACCTTGGCAAGACAAGTCTGCCGGTGTACAAAGAAATTAAAAAACAATACAATTTAAATTTAACAGTTGTTTTTTTAATTTACTGATAATTATTTGCTAATTTAAAGTTCATAGCTGCACTTTTATTGTTTTTTTTCGTACATTCTGGACCTAAAAAACATTTTGCTCTGACAAGAGGCACCCCAGATAGTTTTAATGTTATTTTGTCCTCACATGTAAACACCTGCAATCGACTTTTGTGAGTTTTTTGAGTTTTTCCCTCCATTTCTTATAATGTTCAGTGAGAAGCGCACGCCAAAAGATTAAATTTTTTAATCTTTTCGCTAGGGTTAAGCCTAGCGAACTTATCGACGAAAACCGTACGCCAGTATCGATATTCAACCCATCGAAATACGACAGCAGCAATGCCATCATGTATCATGAAAAGTTCGCGATTTACACTTACCTACTCTAATCTTATCGTTTTCGAAAAATCCTAGTCCTAGTGAGCCCTAGGTATTAATACTACGTCCTCTGCTTATTTATATCGATATTACACTGCCGTTGCACAGGTATGGCCACCCTAAATTCATCGTTTTGTCGTTGTAAAGATATTCCCGCCATTCTCACTTCAATCATGCTCCAGCCCTGGTCATAAATGAAAAGAATAAGGCGAATCTGCAGCACAACACAGGAAAGTCAATAAACAACTGCCTTTTTCATGTCGGAATCACCTTGTAAGTAAGTTATTCAGCACTAATATTTATCATTTTATCCTGGATTATCTGTTTGCAGCTGGTCCGCGGGCCAAGCGCCAGCGAATAGACAAAAATGGGCGTTTCGCCGCCATGGAAAGGCTTCGCCAGCTGAAGGGAACCAAGAACAAATGCCAGGTGGGAGACCATGTGGACGATGTATACGATGTTGTGGATGAGCGGGAGTACGCCAAGCGGGCGCAGGAGAAGTACGGCGACGATTGGATTGAAGAAGGTGAGTGATGGGCTTGGGGGGCATCCTCTAAAAATTTGATGTCCGATTTTGAGACTACCTTTTAATGACATTGTGAAGTATGTCTGCATCTGTGAACCAACTATACATAATATATACCATTTTTAATTAAAAAGATTATAAATAGTATTTAAGACAGTTTATAATGACATTAAGTGGGTTCAAAAATGATTAAGCTCCCCAAATCATCAACAAATTTAATTAAAACAAGAAAAAAAAGCTAACTTCGGGCGGAGACGAAGTTGATATACCCTTGCAGAATATTCTGTAAATTATATTTTCCAAAACTATTCATATGATGCATTCTTAATACTCATAAAAAATCCCAACTTCCTAACTTTAAAAACACCAAAGTTATGGCATATCCTACAGCTGTCATATAACTGAACGATTGGAAATATCAACTTCGGCTCCGTCCGAAGTTAGCTTTCCTTTCTTGTTTTTTGATATTGGTAAAATAGTTGGAATAAAAATACATGAATGACATTTCAAAAAAGTAGAAATCTAAGTTTAAAATGAGGTTGGTCCGCGGCTCCGGCAGAACTGATGCAAATTTAAGATCCACTTAATCTACTTAAGTAAGTAAAACCAATTGGCGATTAAAAAACCGTAAACTAAAAATTGTTAAAGCTAAGACTAGATAAGCTAAAGATCTAGACTAATATTTCAAGTTTGTCCTTTTTACGAAAAAATGTTTTAAAGTTTTAAGCCGTATTGCAATTAGGCCTGACTTTGTATGTCTCGAGAGCTACTTAGATATGAAAACATCCTCCTGCAAAAAATTCAAAATTCTCCGGCTAAATTAGGTTTTTTCTGAATTTCTAGATGGCACTGGATACGCAGAAGATCATCGGGATTTCTTTGAGGATGAAGACGAGTTCTCCGAGGGTGAACAGGAACAGAAAGATAGAAAAAAGAAGAAGGGTGTGGCACCCAACAACAAAAAGAGGCCTCGGGAAGCAGAAAAACCCGCCAAGGGTAAAGCCTCCATCAAGAATCTCTTTAGCAATGCAGTGCCCAAAAAGGCTGATATTAAGAACAGTGTGAAAGATGATGATATCCTGGCTGATATTTTGGGAGAAATGAAAGAGGAGCCTGCAGAGCCGTCAGGAAAAGTTATAGCTCCGGCAAAAATAGCAGTTGCCTCGCGAAAATCCGACGCAGCCACTGCTAAAGAATACATGAATAGTTTCCTCAACCATATCAAAGTTCAAGAGCAGGAACGAAAAAAGGCGGAGGCTGGTAGTGATCACGAGATGCTGGAGCGTATCCTGAAACCCAAGGCAGCAGTTCCAAACACAAAGGTGGCCTTTTTCTCCACTTCCTCGATTAAAAAGGAACCGGTGCCCGAATCGACACCAGTCAAGGAAGCATCAAAAGATCCCTTCTCCGATAATATGGATTTAAGTTGCCTAGATGACGACGAAAACCAGTTCGATGTAAAGAAGGAACAACCTAAAGATAATATTTCCCAAGCAAAAACCGAAGAAAGAATGGCATGCCAAGCTAAAGTCGCCGAAAAAGACACTCCCTCAACGGAGCAAACTGGTTCCCCAAAGGAAACAGATCCTGAAGACATGAGCAAGCTTCTAAGCAACTGGGAGTCCATCTGTCAAATGGACGATGACTTTGAGAAATCTGTGCTCACTGCAGATCAGGAATCGCCAATCTCCTCCGATAAACAGCTGCGATTCTGGTACTGGGAGGCCTGGGAGGATCCAACAAAGCTGCCCGGCGAGGTCTTTCTTTTCGGGCGCACCGCTGATGGGAAGTCTGTCTGTGTACGTGTGCAGAATATCAACCGAGTGCTTTACTTGCTTCCCCGGCAATTTGTAAGTATTGATCAATTATTTGCAATTATATAAAAGTAAGATTTGTTCAAGAATATGAAACAAATAATCCAATGACATAAGACCCAGGAGCATTTGAATACATTACTAACAAGAAAGGAAAGCTAACTTCGGGCGGAGCCGAAGTTGATATACCCTTGCAGAATACTCTGTAAATTATATTCTCCAAAATTATTCATATGATGCATTCTTAATACTCATAAAAAATCCCAACTTCCTAACTTTAAAAACACCAAAGTTATGGCATTTCCAATTAATCAGTCATATGGCAGCTATAGGATATAGTCGGCCGATCCCGGCCGTTCCGACGTATATACTGCGTGTAAAGAAAAGAAGGGTGTGTGCAAAGTTTCAATTCGATATCTTTAAAACTGAGATACTAGTTTGCGTAGAAACAGACAGACGGACAGACGGACATGGCTATATCAACTCAGGAGGTGATCCTGATCAAGAATATATATACTTTATAGGGTCGGAGATGTCTCCTTCACTGCGTTGCACACTTTTGACTAAAATTATAATACCCTCTGCAAGGGTATACAAATATTGAAAATGATTTTGCATTGAAAATAATTTTTTTTCGTAACAACTATATTTGTACATGTATTTTGATTTTGCCCCAAAACAACTCTGTCAAAAAAAAAAACAATCACAAAAAAATACAACATTTTATTATAACTTCGGTTAAATGGGTATTCACAATTTTAATACAAAGAACTAATTAAAATTGGTTGGTGACGATTCGTTTTTAAAAAACAAATTTTCACATTTTTTCGCAATAAAGTGTTTTGATCGTGCCTATGGCAGGTATGTGATACAGCAGTTTTATTTTTATAAAACTAAACCCATATTTCTGAAATCGCTAAAAAATAATATATCTCTGAGTATATAAATATATGTTAAGAACAACGAATTTTATGTTTCTTCCGATTGTTACCTGCAACAGAAAGAACACTTTTTGCAAAGTTTTATCCAAATAGCTTTACAACTGCGGGACTAGTTTGCGTAAAAACAGGCAGACGGACGAACGATGATGCTGATCAATTATAATTATACTTTATAATATGTGACCTTCAGTGTGTTGCAAACTTTATACTGAAATTATAAAACCCTCAGCAAGGGTATAACAAGTCAATGAAAAAAATTGTATATTTTTATTATTTTAATACAAAATTGTTAAATTATTCTTTATAACTTGAACAGCTTCTGGACCCTATTTCAAAGGAGACGACCAAGCAAAAGGTGACCGTGGCAGATATCTACAAGGAGTTTGACAGCGAGGTGGCCAGCGAACTTAAACTAATATCTTTTAGATCCCGCAAGGTCAGCAAGAATTTTGCCCACCACGCCATCGGTATTGAAGTGCCCCAAACTTGCGATTACTTGGAGGTTCACTATGATGGCAAGAAACCACCTCCCAATTTGTCGGCTGGCAAAAAATACAACTCCATAGCGCATATTTTCGGTTCCACGACCAATGCATTGGAGCGCTTCCTCCTCGAACGCAAAATCAAGGGACCCTGCTGGCTGCAGGTGAGTGGCTTTAAGGTGAGCCCAGCTCCCATGAGTTGGTGTAAAACGGAGGTCACCTTGTCAGAACCTAAGAATGTAGAATTATTGCAAGATAAGGGCAAACCAGCGCCACCACCACCTCTAACTCTAATAGCACTAAATGTCCGCACCTCGATGAATCCCAAAACATCAAGAAATGAAATATGCATGATTTCAATGCTAATTCACAATCGTTTTTATATCGATCGCCCTGCTCCTCAGCCCGCTTTTAATCGCCATATGTGTGGATTGACCCGTCCCGCGGTAGTTAGTTGGCCTTTGGACTTAAACTTTGAGGTAGCTAAATATAAATCCACTAAAATATACAAACACGATTCAGAAAGAGCCCTTTTAAGTTGGTTTTTGGCTCAGTACCAACAAATAGATGCCGATCTTATAGTAACCTTTGATGCAATGGATTGTCAGCTGAATGTTATTACCGATCAAATTGTGGCCTTGAAAATACCACAATGGTCACGAATGGGGCGCCTTAGGATGACGCAATCGTTTGGCAAGCGTTTACTGGATCATTTTGTGGGCAGAATAGTCTGCGATGTTAAGCGTTCCGCGGAGGAGTGTATAAAAGCCAGATCCTATGATCTTCAAACCTTATGCAAGCAAGTGCTAAAGTTAAAGGAATCCGAGAGAATGGAAGTGAATGCTGATGATCTTTTGGAGATGTACGAAAAAGGAGAGAGCATCACCAAGCTTGTATCGCTCACCATGCAAGATAATTCCTATTTACTAAGGCTAATGTGCGAGCTTAACATCATGCCGTTAGCCTTGCAAATCACAAATATTTGTGGCAATACGATGACAAGGACCCTTCAAGGAGGTCGTTCTGAACGGAATGAGTTCTTATTGCTGCATGCTTTCCATGAAAAGAATTATATAGTGCCGGATAAGAAGCCGCATTTAAGACGTGGTGGAGCTTTAGATCCAGAGGCTACACTTTTTGGTGCAGACGCTACTGTGGTATCAAAAAAAAAAGCGGCCTATGCTGGTGGCTTGGTTTTGGAACCAATGCGTGGTCTCTACGAAAAGTTTGTTTTGCTTATGGATTTCAACTCGCTGTATCCAAGTATCATCCAGGAGTACAACATATGCTTCACCACTGTCCAACAGCCTGTGGATACGGATGAGTTGCCGACTCTTCCAAATTCTAAAACTGAAGCTGGTATTTTACCCCTCCAATTAAAACGTTTGGTGGAGTCGCGAAAGGAAGTGAAAAAGCTAATGGCAACGCCTGATCTTTCACCGGAACTTCAGATGCAGTACCATATTCGACAGATGGCTCTGAAGCTCACCGCCAACTCCATGTATGGTTGCTTGGGCTTTGCGCATTCCCGGTTCTTTGCCCAGCATTTGGCTGCTTTGGTTACTCATAAAGGCAGAGAGATCCTCACAAACACCCAACAGCTAGTGCAAAAGTTAAACTACGACGTGGTGTATGGCGACACAGATTCCCTGATGATTAATACTAATATAACAGACTACGATCAGGTCTACAAAATTGGTCACAGCATCAAGCAAAGTGTGAATAAAATGTACAAACAGCTTGAGCTGGATATTGATGGAGTGTTTGCCTGTTTGCTATTGCTTAAGAAAAAAAAATACGCTGCTGTTAAGTTAAGCAAAGATTCCAAAGGTAACTTGAAGCGCGAACAGGAACACAAGGGACTGGATATAGTTCGTCGAGATTGGTCTCAGCTAGCTGTGATGGTGGGAAAAGCTGTTCTTGATGAAGTGCTGTCCGAAAAACAGCTCGAGGAAAAACTAGATGCAGTGCATGCCCAATTGGAAAAGATAAAAAATCAAATAAGGGAGGGTGCAGTACCTCTCCCTCTTTTTGTCATTACCAAGCAGCTCACTCGGGCTCCTCAAGAATATTCCAACAGTGCCTCATTACCGCATGTCCAGGTGGCTCTTCGCATGAATCGAGAGCGCAACAGGCGGTTCAAGAAGGGCGACATGGTGGACTATGTAATATGTTTGGATGACTCCACAAATGCTGCCATGCAGCGAGCCTACCATTTGGATGAGCTTAAGAGCAGTGCTGATAAGAAGCTCCAACTGGACATGAATTACTATCTCGGACATCAGGTGCATCCGGTAGTCACGCGCATGGTGGAGGTGCTTGAAGGAACCGATGCGAGTCGCATCGCCGAATGTCTTGGCATGGATCCCACTAAGTTCCGACAAAATGTACAGCGGTAAGTATTTTATACCCAGCAAATGGCAAATTCAGTCAAACGCAGTAAAGGAGATATTTCCTAGCCTAAAAAGTCAGTCTAGCCATGTCTGTCTGTCCATCAGCCTCTATGCAAACTAGTTTTTATAGCTTTCTGAATAAGACTTCAAAAGGTCTTATTTGTGCCATAATAATGTGCGTAAATATCTCGGAACGAACCGGATAGGACAATTAAATCATAGAGATGCCGTTTTAACAATCGGAATCAAGAAAGGAAGCAATCTTCGGCAAGCCGAAGTTTATATACCCTTGCAGTTATTATATATCAACTACGTTTCGATTTTTATATCCTTGCAGAGGGTATTATAATTTCCGTCAAAAGTTTGCAACGCAGTGAAGGAGGCATTTCCGACCCTATAATGTATATATATTCTTGATCAGAATCATCAGGAGAGTCGGTCTAGCCATGTCCGTCCGTCTGTCCGCCCGTCCGTTTCTACGCAAACTAGTCCCTCAGTTTTAAAGCTATCTGCTTGAAACTTTCCCAAAAGTGGACTTTTTATTGCAGGTAGTATATAGCACGGAACGATCCGGATCAGGTGACTATATCATATAACTGCCATATAACTGATTGATCGGAAATGCCATAACTTTGGTGTTTGTAAAGTTCGGAGGCTGCGATTTTTTATGAGTTTTATATTTGGCGAATCAATCCGACCTACCAAATTTCATAAGGATCGGCCGACTATATCCTATAGCTGCCATATAACTGATTGATCGGAAATGCCATAACTTTGGGGTTTGTAAAGTTAAGAAGCTGGGATTTCCTATGGGTTTTATATTTGGCCAATCAATCCGACCTATCAAATTTCATAAGGATCGGCCGACTATATCCTTAGCTGCCATATAACTGAACAATTGGAAATGCCATAACTTTGGTGTTTTTAAAGTTAGGAAGTTGGAATTTTTTATGAGTATTAAGAATGCATCATATGAATAATTTTGGAGAATATAATTTACAGAGTATTCTGCAAGGGTATATCAACTTCGGCTCCGCCCGAAGTTAGCTTTCCTTTCTTGATTTTTGTTTTGTTTTGCTGGTGCTGCGCTTTATGTGTATATAATTAACCATTATCAGCTGAGAGTTGCATTCATTGAACATTTTTTATATGGTTTTTTTTTTAAAGCAAAACATATTTTTTGTAATCTGCCTTTTACAAAACCATAATTTAACTTTATTTCATGCTTCTTACCATTAATTTTAAAAGTCAAAATCCCAATTACATTTCGCATTTTTTTAGAGCTCAGCGTGAGAACACCGAACAATCGGAAGGCGAGTCTCTCCTCAAAACGACCCTCCAGTTGTACCGCCTTTGCGAACCTTTTCGCTTCCAATGCGTGGCCTGCAAAACGGAGCAGTTAATGGCCAGTGCGTACCGCCCAGGACCCAGCAGCTCGCACATCTCTGTGCTCCAGCAATGCGCGAATTCCGAGTGCCAAACTGCACCTATCCAGTATTTGGCTAGTGTGCGCAATCAGCTGCAGCTTTCCATTCGGAGCTATGTGCAGCGGTTCTACAAAAATTGGATGGTCTGCGATCACCCCGATTGCAACTACAACACGCGTACCCATACAATGAGGAAGGAGATGCGCCGACCGCTCTGCCAAAAGTGCCGGAGTGGCAGCCTTCTGCGGCAGTATACAGAGCGGGACTTGTACAATCAGCTCTGCTACTTGCGCTTCATCTTCGATCTCGGCAAACAGCAGCTGCATCATAAACGTAAGTAAAAGTCAGGAAATTTATTCATTTTTACTGCTCTGACTTAGGAACAACCTTCTCTTCTTTCTGTGGACCACGTCGATTTTTTTGCCGAGGTCTTGGTTGAACAGATCTATCACGCTACCCCTCCTTTTAGAAGTAATCCTATACCTCCTCCATCTTCGGCTTCTTCAAAGCCAGAAATAGCTGCCTTGGCCAGAAAAGGTCATGCTCTTCGCCGTGTCTGGATGAGGACGAGGCATATGGCAAGGTGGAAGGCTTCTGTGTCAGAGCTGTGGAAATGCACCTTAAAAGACAGCCGCTTTAGAGGTTTTCCTTTAAACTTAGCGATGACACTTGGCCCCACAGTGATTCCGAGATTGCTGAAGTATTTGCTGATGATCTTGCCTAGCTCAGTCATTGCGAAACTCTGTCTCCTTTTAAATGCTTGCTTGCACTTAAGTCATTTTCATTAGTCACAATGGTGGCAAAAAAATGAGCCATGCTGCCGATTAGTTTGCTGTCCACTTTCTCCAAGATTTTTGAACGGATCATGCTTGTTAGACTTCCATCTATTAAATCCTCTGAAGTCGCATTTCCAAACCACCAGTTTTGTTTCCGTAGTCGCCATTGTGCTATCGAGCAAGTGCATAGAGTAGTTAACCATGTTCTGGGTGCTTTCGAAGATTACGAATACTGCTCAGACGTTTTTCTCGGCGTTCGACTCTGGAAGCTCATTGTATGATTATTAGATAATAGGGAGTTTGCTGTAGATATTCGTGGACATCGTTCTGGACTTCGCCCAATTCGTGCTGATCTCCCGCAGGGAAGCGTCATTGGTGCTGTCCTGTACACAATTTACACTTCGGAACATCCAAGCCCAGTTGCTCGTGGTACATTCCTGGCCACATATGCAGATGACACTGCGATTATTGCAGCTGGTATCACGACTACGTCTGTCTCCCGACGTGTCCAGACATTCTTGGACGAATTTGAGTGCTGGGGTTATCGATGGAACACTGCGCTAAATGTTGACAAAACGCAGCATGCCACAATTGGTCTCCGCCCTAGCCGTTTGCGTAGCCTCTACATTGATGGGAATAGGCTCAAGCACGAAGAAAAGGTGACGTACTTCGGATTTACCTTAGACCGTCGCCTTTGTTGGAAGGGACAAATTGATAGAGTCTGTGGGTCAGCAAGAACGGAACACCCGCTATCCGTTTTTTGGGGTTAGTTATAAATAATTTTTTAATTCATGAAATCAAGGTCCATCCTTGTGTGGCGTGTTCAACAAAAAATATATGTTCAAATATAAATACATACAAAATATAAAAAAATAAACGTCAAGATCTCAGGAACTATTCGAGCTATAAAAGCTGTATGCCACGATAATCAAACTTCAAGCCAACCTAATAATTTTTAATGACTATAGCCTATAAGAAAGTAAAATCTGCTTTCTGATCATTATACCCTTGCAGAGGGTATTATAATTTTGGTCAAAAGTGTGCAACGCAGTGAAGGAGACATCTCCGACCCTATAAAGTATATATATTCTTGATCAGGATCACCTCCTGAGTTAATATAGCCATGTCCGTCTGTCCGTCTGTCTGTTTCTACGCAAACTAGTCTCTCAGTTTTAAAGATATCGAATTGAAACTTTCCACAAACTCTTCTTTCTTTTGCACGCAGTATATAAGTCGGAACGGCCGGGATCGGCCGACTATATCGTATAGCTGCCATATAACTGATTGATCGGATATGCCATAACTTTAGTGTTTGTGAAGTTAGGAAGTTGGGATTTTCTATAAGTTTTATATTTGGCCATTCAATCAGACCTACCAAATTTCATAAGGATTGGCCGACTATATCCTATAGCTGCCATATAACTGATTGATCGGAAATGCCATAACTTCGGTGTTTGTAAAGTTAGGAAGTTGGGATTTTCTATGGGTTTTATATTTGGCCATTCAATCCGACCTACCAAATTTAATAAGGATCGGCCGACTATATCCTATAGCTACCATATAACTGAACGATTGGAAATTCCATAACTTTGGTGTTTTTAAAGTTAGGAAGTTGGGATTTTTTATGAGTATTAAGAATGCATCATATGAATAATTTTAGAGGATATAATTTACAGAATATTCTGCAAGGGTATATCAACTTCGGCTCCGCCCGAAGTTAGCTTTCCTTTCTTGTTTTTAAGTTAAAAAATTTTAAACCATTAATATATTTCCCATTTTAGCCACCCTTACGCCGGAGCTTGAGCAGGCTTACCAGCTCCTCTACGAAACGGTAGATCAACATCTACAGAGCTCCTCCTACGTGATTATTTCGCTAAGGAAACTCTTTGGCCGGACCCTCGGCCTGATGTCCCTCCTACCGCCCAGACCCAGGCCCCACAACGAATTAATCGCCAGTACTTTGGCAGATGTCGTCTAAGTATTTAATTAACTAGCCATTGTTATACGTTTCATAAAATATACTACAAAACATGTATAAGAATCTAGATGAGGTCACGTGGAGAGGAACTTATCGAGGGGAAAGTGTCGGAAAGATTCATTAAATATGTCGGTAAATGCTGAGCTGACCAACTCGTTTATCATCGGTTTGATGAAGGGCAATCCCAGTTGCCACATGCTGTTAATAACGCCGTCGGCCAGTTGGTTAAGTGGCTGTCCTTGCAGCAGATTCTCAATGTGGAGCTCCATTCCGCCGATGCGGTCCACCTCTACGTGCACCTTAATCAGCGAACCCGGTTCTCCGATCCGTCGCACGCTACTGGTTTGACTGAGAAAGGAACATATTTAAAATAAGAGTGTGGAGTCACAAAAAGGTTAAACTTATAGCAACAACTTACAACAATACATATCTTGGCAACACAGCTTGTGAAATATTGCTTACAACGCGTTTCTCACCTGTAATCATAGAGGGTAAGGTTCCAGTGACCTTTTCGGTTCATCTCCGTGCCCAGCATCTTGGCGGATAACTCATAATCCCCCTCCAGACTCTTCTCCGGGAAATACTGAGCGTATACGATGCGTTGATCCTCAGGGTCGGCACGGAATTTGGTCACCTCGGATCGAGCCCATCCGAACTCGGAGACATTGCGCAAGATCAGCTTAAAGCTGCCAAGGCCTTGTGAATCGCCACGCCTCAGCTCAACATAGGTACAGCGGTGCGGGTCAAAGGGCTTGATGTTATAGTCGGGCACACCTGAAGGATTTAACCCATAATAGCTCGCCCGTAATCCGAATCTCACTTACCAGTAGTAAAGTAGGCCCTCAGATCGTTGAACACCTGTCGCATGCACTCGTTAAAATCCTCGTCCCTCTTTTGGCACCGGCCCAACATGTGCTTCAGGTCCGCATCCACATCGATTTGGCTGGAGGCGTTCCCCAAGTTAGTGGCAAATAGCAAGATCACCGCCAGGTAGACCACATAGTTGGCACAGTTTAAGAGCCACTGTTGCGACATGCTAATGTGGGCGACAGCTAATTGCTAAGGTAAATAAGGTAAGGTTTATATTTACTGTGTGACGTATATCGTGTTTTGTTTGAGCATAATTCTGTAGTGATTTGTTATTAAAATTGTCCTTGGCTTTTGGGAACAGTTTGATTTAGTTCTCTTGTTTGATTTATATATATTGAATTGATTTTAAAGTTTTGGATTTGCAGTATTTTAGGTATTCTAATAGTTTTTACAGTGTAACATATTTTGTGGGCTAAGTTTTAACAATTTGCCAATAAACCACTTCCTTTTAAAATTATATGTATATACAATTATTTATCAGCTGTATTGAAATTTATTTTGTTGCAACTGTTTTTCTATTTAATCGCTCAGTTCAATAAAATACAATGTATAATTTTTCTTTTTATTCATTAAAGTCATAATTTTAAAAATAAACATTTTTGTTATACTGACAATATAATAAATAAAACAACTTTAGTTATTTGCATAAAAACACAGTAGTAACTACAAAAATGTTGTTTTTCAAACTTCCTCATCATTATCATGTAATTTGTTTTGTAATCTTTTTGTATGCGGTCTGCACTTGACCTTTTTTATGGTATCACACAGATTATTTCAGGTCTCAGTGCTGCAGAAAGTACGTTCGACCATGACAAAAATGCGCCTTAGTGTGTTTCTAATACAATAGTAAACAAAAGACTTGGGAAAGACACAAACTTGGAGTGCGAACAACTTTTATTCCCACTTAGGCAGTCACTCATGCAACACGAAAGCTACAACTTTTGATAATATTTGGCAACTGTTCAGTTGCAATTGCAGTGGCAGCGTTGACCAATGGTCAGTTATTCAACAAGTAACATACTTCGTTTAGTTTAGTTAAGTTAAATTCATTAAATTTAGTTGAGTTTAACAAATCCATAGTATTACAGTATGCTATTTACATATTTTTTAATGATTCCCAATTATTAAGCTCTGAAACTTGGGCAACTTCTTTGTATGCAAAGGCGCAAAAATACTCGAGAATAATAATAACTTTACAGTTAGTTGAGCCGAATACGCGACGTGATCATCTCGAACTGCCGAAGCTAACTGAATCAACGACTGGACAACGGCTTAAGACCAAACCCGAAAAGAGCTTCCACTAAAAGTGGCAACAACAGCCAAATAAGTCATAGAAAAAAGTAAAAAAATATCTAGTTTTGAGTTTACCACCCTCTAGTCGCATTTCCTCATGTTCCCAAAAAAAATTCAAACTTAAAAAAATCCAAGCAATAGTAAATTTATAAATAATTGTAATAAAATGAATTAATAAATAATGTAATATTTATGGGGATATTTTCAATTCCAACGATTAAAATACAAATTATGATAATAATAGTTATTTTAAATTAACTTTAATATTTATTATAAGAATCTAGAAATTATCCCCTCTACCCCTTAATTTTTAACAAATAGACGATCATCGCTGGCTGAATGTGATCTGAATTTCATTAGGCAAGCCCATGTCCGTATTTAGCTATTTTTTTAAAGTACCAAAACAAGTACTCACAGCCAGATCTCAAGTTCATGGAATTAAATTAATTGGGCTTCGTGATTGACAACCACGCTTGTTTAAAATGTTACGAGTGGCAGAAGAAGATTTTGTAAACTGCTTTTTAACAAATGGATCCCACAAGGTTGCAGAGCTTCAATTGTTATAGCTGATTGCAAATTTAATGAAAAGACAAGGTTAGCTTGTACAGATATTCAAAACGGGGTTGAAAAGATACTACAGCAATTCGTAAGTTTGTAATTCAAAAAAAATGATCATAAACCGGATAATTGTCTTAAATGTCTGTTTAAATAACATTACTTTATTCCAACTATACTCTAAAAAAAACTTGATAGTTAATCATTTATTATATATTTTTTTTTTTACTTTTATTTAAATTAGTATATAAAAATAAAGCACCCCAGATAGTCTTAATGTTATTTTGTCTCACTCCTGCAATCGACTTTTGCGGGTTTTCTATTTTTTCCCTCTATTTTTTAAAATGTTCAGTGAGCAGCGCACGCCAAAAGATTAAATTTTTTAACCTTTTCGCTAGGGCTCACCCAAAGTTCATTCGACCTGAGTACCGGGTGAAAAAAAGGCCTGACGAAAAGAGACGCCAGCTGTTTGACTCTCGCTCTCTCTCATGACTGGCGCACAGTTTTCGTCGATCTGAGTACTAGGCTTAAAAAATTTAATCTTTTGGCGTGCGCTTCTCACTGAACATTATAAGAAATGGAGGGAAAAACTCAAAAAACTCGCAAAAGTCGATTGCAGGAGTTAACATGTGAGGACAAAATAACATTAATACTATCTGGGGTGCCTCTTGTCAGAGCAATATGTTTCTTGGGCCAAAATGTACGAAAAAACACAATAAAACTGCAGCTATGAACTTTAAATTAGCAAATAATTGTCAGTAAATTAAAAAAAAAACAACTGTTCAATTTAAATTGTAAATTGTCGCCAAGGTATTTGATAATATCTTTTAAAGGCTCTTTCCCGCAAATACGATATTTGAATTTTAACTGCTTGTCAACAAACCCAGCTGATTGACAATATGACCGTAGCACGCTTAAATCTGATGAACTCTCGAAATGTTGGTCACACTGGAAAGATTAAAGTTTTTACGCTAGCATACTCGTTTGTCGATCTGAGTACTAGGCTTAATTTAAAACAATTAAAGTTAAAATTTGGTATTTTATCTACATGCTGTAAGTTGGTATTTCTGAACTGCCCATCGAGGGTCATACTGTGCGGGTGCTGGCGTGTTTATAGTTATTGCGAGGCGAACGTTGCTTTAATTTTTTTATAACTTATAATAATGGAGGTGGAGTTTAGCAAGGAAAACTTTCTACTGCCGGAGGTGAAGTACGAGTGTGAGTAGATCCTAAATTTCTATAGAAACCACCTGTTGATAAGTATTTCATCATATTGCAGACTTGGATCATACAGCGGACGTGCAGTGAGTAATTGCAGATATTCCACAGCGGCACATATTTTTACATTTTGTTTTAATCAGGGCTACCATAAGGACTATAACCAATTAAAAAAAACGTAAAAAGTAAATGTGTATAAGAGTGATTCGCCCCGATCCCTCCGATAAAAATTCCTATCAATATTTTGTCAGATTTAGACGCATTTCTTTTTTGACGCCTTTTTACCCGGATAATTACTAATTCGATAGTATTGAGCTTTTGACGTTATAATTTTTGCCTTTGCGACGAAATTAGCCAAAACTTTTTTTTTTAATTTAAATTTAAAGAAAACCGGCCAGTGGGTTGCAACTTACTGTGTATTTATGGATATTTTAGAAATAGACAGTCAAATTGATATAATTTTAAATATTTTTTGAGTTAAACGTGACATTCTACGGTGCGAAAAAACAAACCCACTGCTTCAGATTTCCGTCCTTCTCCGTCGGTGAAAACTAAAAAAAATCGCGTTAAACGAATTGTTCCTTTATTGTATATTTAACTTTGGTAAAAAAAAACAATTAAAAAAATTGAGTTTTAAAAAAATTAAAGTTGAACTTAAAATCTTTGTAGAATAAATATACTTTGAATACTAAGGGTGACGTCTATAAGGTAAAATGAGGTAACATTACTCTGTATAGGTAATTGGCAATTTACCTTTAAGGAGTTCAAGTTTCAGCAATAACTACTTATACGACACAAAAGCTTAAAAATACTTTAGCCTTAGAAAGGTGGCAAAGGTACCTTTTTTATAAGATCTACGCTAAATATGGAAATTAGGGTGGTAAGAAATCCATTTTATATGGTGTTTATAGCTGTGCAAGAAATGAATGGAAAAATTTTGCCAATTTTATTTTAGGTTTTAGGCGTGGAGTACAAATTACTCATTTGACATTTCATGTCAGATAAAATAAATATATTGATCATAGCCAATGCCCAGACCATGAAACACATTTTTACCAACAAATTTTTTTCTAGTATGCGTAAAATGGTCCAAAACTCATAGTAAAAGCGGTTGAGAGTAGGACCTTACAACGTTAATACAAACTTGGAGCGTTCTAATGTACATACATATTTGAAAACAAAAGTAAAAAAAAAAAAAAAAAAAAAAAGGAAGCATACTTCGTTAAGCGAAATATTACCAAATACCAAAGACCAAAAAAAAATTAAACAAGAAAGGCAAGCTAACTTCGGGCGGAGCCGAAGTTGATATACCCTTGCAGAATACTCTGTAAATTATATTCTCCAAAATTATTCATATGATGCATTCTTAATACTCATAAAAAATCCCAACATCCTAACTTTAAAAACACCAAAGTTATAGCATTTCCAATCGTTCAGTTATATGGCAGCTATAAGATATAGTCGGCTGATCCTTATGAACTTTGGTAGGTCGGATTGATTGGCCAAAAATAAAACCCATAGAAAATCCCAACTTCCTAACTCAACAAACACCAAAGTTATGGCATTTCAGATCAATCAGTTATATGGCGGCTATAGGATATAGTCGGCCGATCCTTATGAAATTTGGTAGGTCGGATTGATTGACCAAATATAAAACCGATAGAAAATCCCAACTTCCTAACTTTACAAACACCAAAGTTATGGCATTTCCGATCAATCAGTTATATGGCAGCTATAAGATATAGTCGGCCGATCCTTATGAAATTTGGTAGGTCGGATTGATTGGCCAAATATAAAGCCCATAGAAAATTCCAACTTCCTAACTTTACAAACACCAAAGTTATGGCATTTCCGATCAATCAGTTATATGGCAGCTATAGGATATAGTTGGCCGATCCCGGCCGTTCCGACATATATACTGCGTGCAAAGGAAAGAAGGGTGTGTGCAAAGTTTCAATTCGATATCTTTAAAACTGAGAGACTAGTTGGCGTAGAAACAGACAGACGGACAGACAGACGGACAGACGGCCAGACGGACAGACGGACATGGCTATATCAACTCAGGAGGTGATCCTGATCAAGAATATATATACTTTATAGGGTCGGAGATGTCTCCTTCACTGCGTTGCACACTTTTGACCAAAATTATAATACCCTCTGCAAGGGTATAAAAACAAAGTTATACTTAAAAAATTTTTTTTTCTGATTCTTCTTCTACGAGCTATATGATATAGTCGCCCGATCCGGCTCGTTCCGACTTATAAGAAAGACAGCTTTTGGGAAAGTTTCCAGCAGTTTCCAGCTTTAAAACTGGGTTGCAAATAAGAAACAAACATTTTTAATCTTTTTCGTTTGGATAATTTTTTTACCCTTGTCAAAATAAAAACCCAAAAAAAATTGCTGATAAACAGGAAAATTCGCATACGTTATGTTTTAAAAAAGACATCCTGTAATATTTGTTATAGATAACGATGGAGAGTAAACTATATTTTTTGTCACTGTAAAATAAAAATGTTTTGCCGTAAAGTTTGTATTGTTCGAGTTTAGGTGCAATCTCTTTCAAAAACTTTTAAAAAATAATTCATATCGTCTTCATTAACGTTTGCCTTTTAACACCCACAGAATTCATATCAAATCAATAATTTCGTTGATCTATAGATTATTAAATTGTTGTTATCAAAGTGAAGTCTTCGAGTAGAATTTATTGTTTCCAACCTATTTACTTCTGTTTTTATGCTTGCATTTTTCAGGGGGCCATTTATGGTGGCCTTTTTTAAAAAAAATTAAAAGTCTTTCCCAAATTTGTCGGGGTTATATATATAAGGTGCGTTCCAAAGTAAACAGGACTTTTGGAATCTAGCTCCCCTGGTAGCGCCATCTATATGTCGTGCGTTAAAATCTGCTATCTTCAATCGATAAGCCTAGTATCCAGATCGACAAACGATTACGCCAGCGTAAAAACTTTAATTTTTCTTGTGTGACCAAAATTTTGAGAGTTCATCATATTTAAGTGTGCTACGGTCGTACTGTCAATCAGCTGGGCTTGTTGACAAGCAGTTAAAATTCAAATATCGTATTTGCGGGAAAGAGCCTTTAAAAGATATTATCAAATACCTTGGCAAGACAAGTCTGCCGCTGTACAAAGAAATTGAAAAACAATACAATTTAAATTTAACAGTTGTTTTTTTTAATTTACTGATAATTATTTGCTAATTTAAGGTTCATAGCTGCACTTTTATTGTGTTTTTTCGTAGATTCTTGATCTAAAAAACATTTTGCTCTGACAAGAGGCACCCCAGATAGTATTAATGTTATTTTGTCCTCACATGTAAACTCCTGCAATCGACTTTTGCAAGTTTTTTGAGTTTTTCCCTCCATTTCTTATAATGTTCAGTGAGAAGCGCATGCCAAAAGATTAAATTTTTTAATCTTTTCGCTAGGGTTCACCCAAAGTTCATTTTTTTCGTCGATCAGGGGACCGACGTGAAAAAAGGCCCGACGAAATGTGAACGCCAGCTGTTTGCCTCTCGCTCTCTCTCATGACTGGCATACGGTTTTCGTCGATCTGGATACTAGGCTTTAAACATTAACCACTCCCCTGGTATGAAGTCGCACTTCTTCCTTTTCGGAAAAATGCATTTGCCCATTAAAAGAAAGAGTTATGTAGACGTAGAGGCCATTCAAAAGGCTTGAACCGGCATACTGGCGGCCATACCGGCCAACGAGCTATAACACTCGTTCGACGTGCTTTTGGACCGTGATAAGAACTGTATTGAAGGAGAAGGAGACTATTTTGAATAAGTTAAATTGATTTGGCCGAAAAATAAATACTTTGTTCTGTATTTTTTTTAAAGTTCAGTTTACTTTGGAACCTTGCATATATGTTGTGGGAAAGTTGTAGAACTTTATAATAAAACAAGAAAGGAAAGCTAAATTCGGACGGAGCCGAAGTTGATATACCCTTGCAGAATATTCTGTAAATTATATTCTTCAAAATTATTAATTTGATGCATTCTTAATACTCATAAAAAGTCCCAATTTCCTTATTTTAAAAACACCAAAGTTATGGCATTTCCAATCGTTAAGTTATATGGCAGCTATAAGATATAGTCGGCCGATCGTTATGAAATTAGGTATGGCGGATTGATTGGCCAAAAATAAAACCCATAGAAAATCCCCACTTCTTAACTTTACAAACACCAAAGTTATGGCACTTCCGATCAATCAGTTATATGGCGGCTATAGGATATAGTCGTCCGATTCTTATGAAATTCGGTAGGTCGGATTAATTGGCCAAAAATAAAGCTCATAGAAAATCCCTTCTTCCTAACTTTAAAAACACCAAAGTTATGGCTTTTACGATCGTTCAGTTATATGGCAGCTATATGATATAGTTGTCCGATCCGGCTCGTTCCGACTTATATACTACCTGCAATAAAAAGACAACTTTTGGGAAAGTTTCAAGCAGATAGCTTTAAAACTGAGGGACTAGTTTGCGTAGAAACGGACGGACGGACGGACGGACGGACGGACGGACAGACGGACATGGCTTGATCGACTCTCGTGGTGATGCTGATCAAGAATATATATACTTTATAGGGTCGGAAATGTCTCCTTCACTGCGTTGCAAACTTTTGACTGAAATTATAATACCCTCTGCAAGGGTATAAAAAATGAGCATTAATGGCCGAGTTCGGTTTACCAAAACTCTAGATATATTAGGCATGAAATCAGGCAAAAACTTTATTTACACTTTTGAAAGGATTTGAAGTATAATTTTTTTGATCAGGGAAACTGCTGCGGAAAAGGAAACTTTAATTTTTTTGAGTAAATAAATATTTTAAATGCATTAATGAATTATAATTTATACATATACAGTGGCGAGCAAAAGTGAGTGCATGTTCACGAAACTGACTTTCGTCGCACATAAAAACTTAACGGTACAAGATAATCAAGCAAATTAAAAAAATTAAATTAAATTTTTTATGTTTACCATTTTATTAATAACAAATACGAAAAAGAAGCAATATCGTATAAGGTAAATTCTAAAAGTTAGAAAGAAAAAACCAAAAAAAAACCGCATTAACTCACTTTTGCACGTTTTATGACTTGCTCCGATTTTCACTCTTTCACCTTTCTTATCAGTATGATCAGGCAGATTTATTTTGAGAATTGTTATTGTGCTATGCTTATTAGTCGTAGTGAAGTTTAATACCTGTTGCGTACGAATTATACCTTGATTTTTCTATTAGTGCCTTCTTAAAAAGAAAATTTTTGATTTTTGACATTAAAATGAGAAAAATATCTCCAGAAATTGAAAACAGTGTTTTGTGCCTCACTGAGAAGGGCTGTTCTTCACGAACTATATCCGAAAGACTTGGTATAGCAACATGTTGTCTGGTTAAGCCTAGTATCCACTTCGACGTAAACCGTACGCCAGTCATGAGAGAGCGAGAGGCAAATAGCTGGCGTTCACTTTTCGTCAGGCCTTTTTTTTACGTCGGTCTCCTGATCGACGAAAAAAATACCAGAAAATTCCTTAGCGTTGCCAGTCTTACAGCGCAAAGTCCCGACCTCAATCCGATTGGAAATATTTGGTCAATCGGGCAGTACGAAGCAGCCCCAACCAACATGGCCAACCTTTGGGAACGTGTAACAGCGGAATGGAAGCAAATCTCTGAAGGTGTTTTAAAAAATTTGGTAGAAAGCATGCCTAACCGCATTAATCAAGTTATTCCTAATAAGGGTTTGTGGACAAAATATTAAAATGGAGTTATTTATTTAATTTTTTTAAAACGTGCAAAAGTGAGTTTATACGGGTTTTTTTGGTTTTTTCTTTCTAACTTTTAGAATTTACCTTTTTTGCATTCGTTATGAATAAAATGGTAAACATAAAAAAATTTACTTTGCTTGATTATCTCGTACCGTTAGGTTTTTATGGGCGACGAAAGTCGTTTCGCGAACATGCACTCACTTTTGCTCGCCACTGTATAACTATAATTACTTGTACAAATAAATGTTATGTTTTATTTTTGCAAAAGTAGATAACAGAGAATATTAAACGTTGTTGAAAATTTATAAAAGGAAGCACGTTTTTTAATTAACAAAGTTCGATGAAAGATAAACTGAGTACAATATAATCAGCAGCCAAGTCAGTCCAAACATATCCTAATTTCTGTTCGGCTGTTTGCTTGGGCTCAAAATTTGAATGATATACTTTCCAAACAATCTAATTTTCATTACAAGCGTTCTATAAAGAAATGTGGGGAAAATGAGGTAGTCTCAATTTTCTTTTATAACTTTGGTATAAAATATCCTAAAAATCTATTTATAAAAAAAATGTTTAACTTAAAGAAAAAGGTTTTTACCTTTCCTTAATAGTCCTCAACCAATCTAATTTTCCATCATTTGACTTAAATTAATGAATAAATAATTAATGAATATACACAAACCAAAATTAACGTATATCTTCTCCTAACAGAATCCATGGATGGGGAACGAGTCTGAAAGAAGCGTTTGAACAGTGCGGAGTGGCCATGTTTGGATACATGACCGAACTTGATTATGTGTCCGTAGAACACTGTTTCGAAATCGAAGCGCAGGGCGACGATCTGGAGGGATTACTCTTCCATTTTCTTGACGAGCTTTTGTTCCTCTTCTCCGCCGAACCATATCTGGTATGCAAAAAGCTGAAGATTACCAAGTTCGATTTAGAAACCTTCGAGATCTCCTGCCGTTGTTACGGGGAACCCTTCGAGTTGGGAAAACATCCACAAGGCACCGAGGTGAAGGCAATCACATACTCGGCCATGCAAATCGTTCAGGACACAGATGCTTGCAACTACGAGGTGTTTGTCATAATTGACATTTGATTCAGCTCCGATCGGAATCAAAAGTGAATTTTCTGTTATAACCCCCTTGTCTGACTCAATTAATCAAAAGCGAAATGCCAAAAAAGAAACCAATAATAAAACCACTGCATAAGCTACGAAAAATTTGCTGCGACTGCATCCCTTGTCGATAAGGATGACTTATCAAGAAACCACTCGATTGTGCGGCTGCAAATTAATTTAGGACTGGCTCTCTTCTCACCGGTATGATTCCAGAATCAAGACTTACCCGTCTGGATTCTTTGTGTACTAAAAATTTTTTACGCACGGCTTTGTGAATTGGAAACGTGCTGAAGTCCCAGACAACCGCCGAATGTGTTGTCCCTTCCCAGACCGCAGTTCAATGCACTTTTTTATTTGGACAGCCTTTAGCGTTTTTTAAGGATTAATCAATATAAATACTTGGTTTTTAATTTAGAACAAGCGACGTAATACTAAGTTTTATTTATTGATTTTAATATATTGCTCAAATATAAAATAGTTACAATTATTTTAATATTTATTATTTTTCATTCTACTCAAACAAAACTTACTTCTTGATTTTTTTTGTCTTGAATTGAATATAAAACTTGAACTCCTGTTTCTTTGAATATATATAACCGATTGGGATCGATAGTGTTACGGAACTATAATAAGTAAACTAAGACCAACGCCTTAAAACTATTTTTAAGATTCCACAATAACAAAAACAGCAACAACACTTTAAGAAATTTGTATTTTCTTTTGTTGTCCAATTTATAAACAATAAAATTAAGTTCGGTTAATATTAATGTACCATTCTTAAATACTACAATTTTTTTTTAATTCGTCGGGACGTAACGTTTCTAAATAAAAATGATAGTCTAGTTTCTTTCTAAACATGGTGTAGACACTACGTACCGTACATTGTTTAAAAAGATCTGATAGTTAAGAGACTCGACTTTATCGTTTTTATTTGGGAATAGCTGGTGTATACATGGTGTAGACTATAACGCACCAACAATTGTTAAGAAAGATCCAAATTTTACCAATGAGTTAAGCAAGCGATCAATGACACCATACAGAATTTCCAATCAAAAAAAACTTGTAACCAAAAATAAATTAATTTACAAGCCTAACAAAAACTATTAAACAAACAATATTTTTTCAAATTGTGCGCAATTACTTAGTATTTTTTAGTGTGGCTTTCTGTAGGCACTATTTAGTGTGTCTTGAGCAACCTCAGTTGGCAACACTAATCGATTTGTTTTGAATCAGCTGTCTGCCGATAACAAAAAGTAAACAACAAAAAAACATTTGCCGGGCAATACCAACCATATGGGCGCACGAATGTGTGCGTGACAGTCTGTCTGTGTGAGTAGCCAGGTTTCCTTGGAACATCGGGCAAAGGCGAATTGAAAAAAAATACTCACAATACGCGCGTATGTTTTTACAGCTGATTGCTATTGAAAAAGCAACGCTGCGATACGAAAGAGTGTGTAAAAGAACAAACAAAGTGTGAAAGGCAAGTCGCACATACACAAGTGGACAGTTGATCATTTTGATTTTGACTTTTTAAGTGCGTCGAAATTAAAGTGGCTGAAAGCTAGGAAAACTTATGTGAGCATATAAGACAAATAATTTCTTTTTGTGGTGATATTGAGAAAGAAGTGGATGGAACATTTCGCCAACTGTTTGTGGTTGCTTGCTGTTGCTTTTCAATTCGCCGCTTCGCCTCGTCTCTCTCGCTCTCGCCACACCGCTCATTCTTTCTGCAGCCACCAATTGTCATGGTGTTAAGAAAAGAGGAAGCAGCAGCCTGAGAGCACATTGTGCGATATTTATTGCCGTTTACACCCAGAAATCGGGCAGATATCGCTCTTAAGCCCTTACCAATCGACAGGTGACGTTGCTACTTGTAATTTGCGATCAAAAACATATATCTAGCCCAAGGGGAACCCAGTGAAAAACGTGGCGGAAAAATTTATACGAAGACGAAACGGAAAAAATGTGGTAGGTAGTACTAGAAGTAGAGAATGTGACATGTGAGTGTGTCTGTGCGGGGTGCTGCGCTGGGCATTTTCTTTATAAAAGGGAACCCAAAAAAAACCGTTTTTGGGGCGTGCGCCCCAAACTGCCGGCTTAAAAATATATATCTTAAAAATGGCATGCCGGTCCAGCTGACGCAGCAGCTGCGGCAATAACAAGGCTGATAGCAAGGGGTAGGTGGCATACCATCTTTTGAAAAATAAAAGGAAAGCCCATAATAATGCGAACTTTATATAATCGCAGCTACCTGTAAACTAATAATAATGGTAAGGGTTTCCTTCTGTGTCTATGCGGGTGGGCGGCTAATGGCTTTGGCATTCCTGGCAGAATCCATTTTATGAGATTTATGGGTTGACGTCACTCCAGTTTCATTGCACTCGTGCAATCATTCCAATTTGATTTATCTCAAATGGGAGGTTAAGCATCAGGCCGGGCCTGAAGTGGACACTCGCAAAGCAAGCAACTACTAATAAGACCTTAAATTTTTTATATTGTTGAATGAATACTTTTCTAGAGAGCTTTTAATTTTTTTTTCATTAAATTAAAGTTGTTGTGTATCCCTGCACGAAATAAACTTTGAACCATAGTATGTTTTTATATCTGTGAGTATTAAGTATTTTATTGAATTGGAGTCTATGTACTTGGAGGCTGTCATAGTTTTGTCGATTTTTGACAACCCCTCCCCCATTTATACAATTGTTCATACACAATATACAAAAAGTCCACAAAAGTAAGCATCGCATTGACTCGTAAAGAAAAAGGGTTTTGTTCTCGTTGGAAAGTAAATAAAAGGTTATTTATTATTATATATATATTCTTGATCAGGATCAATAGCCACGCCCACTCTAATACTCAGAAATCGAAAAAAATCTGTATCTCAATCTCTATCTGCACACCATAACAAGTATCTACATTAAAAAAAACTTCCACCAATGAAGGTTAAAGCCGTATTCGACAATAGGTTTGCCCACACAGCCAACGTGGCGAATAAGTAATAGTTTTAAAAAATTTTTACTCATTGTAATTTTAAAATAGTGGGAAAACTATCCTTTTCTGAACAAATTTGTATACCCTTGCAGAGGGTTTGCAATTGAAGGAGACATTTCCGACCCTATAAGAAAATATATCTTGATCAGCATCACCAGGAGAGTCGATCTATCCATGTCCGTCCGTCCGTTTTTACGCAATCTAGTCCATCAGTTTTAAAGCTTGAAAGTTTCCCAAAAGTTGTCTTTATATTGCAGGTATTTATGGGTCAGAACCAGCCGGATCGGGATCATATAGCTCCCATAGGAACAATTGGATTTTTTTGTTTATAATTTTTTTTTTGTTTTTTGCGATTTGGTAATATTTAATTACTATGGAATTACGGTTTTAATTAAATTAAAATCGGACATCTAAATTAAAAAGCTTCCATAGGAAATTCAAAAAAATTAAAAAAATAAGAGTGTACACATTTGCATAACCTTTATTTTGGCTTAAGTTTTTTGCGTACAACTCACTAATGCTTCTTTTTTTATGCCAAAATAGGGCATTAAAAAACAATACAAAAATTAGAATTAATTTTAGTTTATCTATTTCTAATACCTGGACTTTTTATACCCGTTACTCGTAGAGTAAAAGGGTATATTGTATTCGTGCAAAAGTATGTAACAGCTAGAAGGAAGCGTTTCCGACCCTATAAAGTATATATATTCTTGATCAGGGTCACTAGCCGAGTCGATATAGCCATGTCCGTCTGTCTGCCCGTCTGTCTGTCTGTCTGTCCGTATGAACGCTGAGATCTCGGAAACTATAAAAGCTAGAAGATTGGCATTTTGCATGCAGATTCTTGGAGTTCCTACGCAGCGCAAGTTTGTTTCAAAAAGGTGCCACGCCCCCTTTAACGCCCACAATCGCTAATATACGATTTTAAAAATTTAAATATTTCGGAAACGTAAAAATGCAGTTTTATTGTGTTTATCAATACCTATCAAATCGGACCATCCGTTAAAAAGTTATGCGTGATCAAAGTTTCTATCTCCATCTCCCTCGCACTCCCTTTACCTGAGTAACGGGTATCTGATAGTCGGGGCACCCGACTATAGCGTTCTCTCTTGTTTGAATATTGAGTAATTGTGAACATTAAAACATCATAAAACTGTTAAGATTAGGCTTATACAAAAATGTTGTTCTTCGCCTTAAAAACTAAGGATTTCTTGCCAAAGCTTACCTTTATTTAAAAAAAAAAAATTTTCAGAAACTTTGTTTTCTTGAAAATATAACAAGAAAGGAAAGCTAACTTCGGGTGAAGGCGCAGTTGATATACCCTTGCAGAATATTCTGTAAATTATATTCTCCAAAATTATTCATATGATGCATTCTTAATACTCATAAAAAATCCCAACTTCCTAACTTTAAAAACACCGATCGTTCAGTTATATGGCAGCTATAGGATATAGTCGGCCGATCCTTAGGAAATTTGGTATGTCGGATTGACTGGCCAAAAATAAAACCCATAGAAAATCCCAAGTTCGTAACTTTACAAACGTTATGGCATTTCCAATCAATCAGTTCTATGGCGGCTATATATACATATATACTGCTGGGATTTTCTATGGGTTTTATATTTGGCCAATCAATCCGACCTACCAAATTTCATAAGGATCGGCCGACTATATCCTATAGTTGCCATAAAACTGATTGATCGGAAATGCCATAACTTTGGTGTTTGTTAAGTTAGGAAGTTGGGATTTTCTATGGGTTTTATTTTTGGCCAATCATTTCGACCTACCAAATTTCATAAGGACCGAATATATCCTATAGCTGCCATATAACTGGAAATGCCATAACTTTGGTGTTTTTAAAGTTAGGAAGTTGGGATTTTTTATGAGTGTTAAGAATGCATCATATGAATAATTTTGGAGAATATAATTTACAGATGATTCTGCGAAATTATTTCAACTTCGGCTCCGCCCAAAGTTAGCTTTCCTATTTTTTTTCATTTGGATTTAAGAGGAAATGTTTGCAATTAAAGACTTACTCAGCTATAATGCTTTAGTTAATCTAAAAAAAGAACAATAACACAAAACAGCTAAAAACAAAAAAAAAATAAGTTGGTTACCCTGGAAATTGTTTGATGCCACAAGATATTTATTCAGGCTACCATTTTAGAAAATCACATTCTTAAATTTTTGTGTTTCCCCTAAGTACATTTTTAAATCCAATTGTCACGATTTAACAAGAAAATCGGTTGCCCAAACTGGGGACAACAAAAAAATTTACAGTTTAAAAAAATGTTACCATAAATAAATGTTTAGGTGTAATTTTCTAAATCAGAGAGTCAAACTGCACAGAAAAATAGGCGATTTAAGCTAATTATCAAAAAAGCCTATTACATTTCTTCATCGATTTGTTTTCTTCATCTTCTTTTTTTAATTCCCTTTAATTCCTATTAACTTTAGCTCACGACAAACTTTTTTTTCGACTCTGTTTTAAAAATTAAAATGTATGAGCTTAAGTAAAATTAAAATATTTAGCTTTTAGAATAGATTGGATGCTAATATTTACTTAATTTTGGATGTCTTATTTAAGTTTAGTTCTCCGAGTGTTGTGTTTTCATATGTTAGCGAAACCTTTTGTGGGCATGTGAGTGATGTGTCCCCGGGGACTCAAAAACTTTGATTAGAATTAATTTGGAGCAGAGAACCTAAAAAAAAGTTGCCAGATTGCCATATTTTGAAAAAGTTGTAAAACATAACCAACTAATAAAACGAATAAAAAACGGCCTTATCAGCGTATCAA